TGCAGATTAATTATAACCCTCAATTATATTTGTGTATTTATATATCAATAGGCATAAATATTAACATGTACATGGTCAATGTGTTAGTGCATGTGTTTGTGTGTTTGTGTGTGTGTATGAACATTGACGTGTATTAGATTGTGTGTGTCTGTATTGTGTATGTGTGTATACCAAAAGATTTAAGTACATATTCTTTCCTAGACTCATAAAAGACGAGTTTTGTGTTGTTTTCTTTAAAAAAATCTGCCGTCTTGTATTCTATTCTATATGTTAAGAGTTAAAACTGTTAAAACTTCAGCCTAAACTCCTTCGGTCTGTAGAATAACTTATAAAATGCATAATTTTTTGTGTTAAATCATTGTAATATGATGTATGATTGACCGAAGAAAATAAACTCACTAAACTAGGCTAAACAAAACACAACTCCAGGTCTGTTTGTGATGAGGTAACAACATTTTAACACGGCTAAAATCTTATTGTGTATTCGACAACCTTTTAATTAACTATTTTTTCATTATAAATTAAGTCTTTCTTCATGCTTTATTCATGTATGACCTAATGAACATTGTAAATTCAGTCTAATTTCCTGTTTATTTGCTGCAGTGAAGTGACTAGGTGCATTGTGGTGTTTACCGAAAGTGTCCAGTAGGGGGTGGTGTTGCATCGCAGGAGAGCCTCGCGGAGGGTCAGGCCGCGTGTGCAGCAGCTCCGGCAGCGGTAACGGAGGCAGCCTTCACATCAGCACGTGTCTTTCTAATCTCGTTACTGATGATAGGGGAGAAAAAGCAAGAAAAGCAGGGCAGTTTATGGATGACGCTGACATTAAGAGTTGATGGGAGCAGTTAAAAGGGACCGTGTCAGATGGCGCTTGATGAGTGGCAATCTTCGGATTACAAGACGCAGGGAGTTTAGATCGTGTATGCAAATCTATAATAAATATTCTACGGTTTTGTACGTTATGGCTTAGTGGGTGAAACAACAAACTGACATGTTAACTGTGTTTGGAAATTGTTTAAAGGGGGGGTGTTTCCTTACGCGCATGGTTTCAATGAAGTCAGCAGTTTTACTTTATACAATAAGTCGTAAAATGGTTCGACAATATCTACAAAATGCATTATTAATTACTTAAATCACGCGGAATATACAGTCGAATTTATTGTTTATTCTTATTTACGAAGCCAACAACATGTCGGTACACTCTAAAAATGTCAAATTTTATAATCGACACCGGATAGCCTGCACTAAACACTTAATAAAACACAAATTCGACGTTGTTATTGATGTACTTGTAGGTTTATTTGTGAATTTCGAAGTAAAAATGGTGTTTCTTTTCAAATAACATGCCAAAATTCTTTCGAAACCAAAGAAAATGACGAAAACGTTCACTTATCTAACACAATTTGCTTAACTTAAATAAAATGGTATTGCACGTTGGGTTAATGTGCAATATAAAACACAAATTTGACGTTATTATTGATGTACTGTAGGTTTATTTGTGAATTTCGAAGTAAAAAATGGCGTTTCTTTTCAAATAACATGCCAAAATTCTTTCGAAAGCAAAGAAAACGACGAAAACATTCACTTTTCTTTAACACGATTTGCTTAACTTAAATAAAATAGTATTGCACATCGGGTTATACTTCGCAAAATGATGTTACGAATCGGCCCATTCTTATTAAAAAGTACCCAATACCAAATCTTTGTCTCTATCTCTTTTCTGATTGGTTGTAAACGCCTTATGCCTTAAAATCCTATAACCAAATAAAAAGCGCATTGTTTCTTGAGCTCCTCCTTTCTCACTTCACTCCATCCCTCGCTTTATCTCCCAGCATGCATCATTCTGAACGCATAAACATCAATATTAGCAGTTTAGTGGTGAACAGTTGTTTGGGGGGGAGAGTGATCTTAAAACTCTAAAGGACACCTCCACGTCGCACTAATTAAAACTTAACCGTCCAGCCGAGTCGACGGGCGAGCGAGGCGGACGGCAGGGGGGGAGGAGAGAAAGGGCTTATTTAGCATTAACATAAAAACAAACAGCCGCGTATATATATGCAAATTACGCACGGGGAAAAAGCAGGATGCCTCGAGCCACGCGCCATAACTCACTCTGATGGCCTTTACTGAGAAATCGACGTCGCTAAGGAAGTGAAAAAAACGCCCAATAAGGAAGTAGGAATCATGCACCTGTCGACTATCTGACTAATGAACCAATCAGGTCGCAAGGACAGACAAGCCATCCAGGAAGTGGTCAGAAGTGTCATTCAGTTTGAACCGAGGACTCTGGCAAAAAAAACAAAAAAACATGGAAGACAGAAAAGCGGGAAAAATTAGAAAAACAGGCTCCGCGGTCCGTTCCAAACAGTTCTTCAAAGCGGCTTTAATCCCGTATCTCGACGACAAAGGGAGGAAAAAATACAGCTGCATGCCTTAAAAATGACAATGATTTAGATTTGAACATAACGCGCGCCGTCGGCTCTTATTGTGACAAAGTGGCGCGTGAATCCCTCTCAAATGAAAGTAGGTGTTTGACAAAGACATTTGGACATAAGCGCTACACTCTCCTTTCTCTTGTAAATGAGCATCGCAAATCTATTTATGTCGTACTCCTACTCCGAAATACGCTTATGGATCAGACAGAAACGAAGGCCAATGTTAAGAAAGAAGGAAAAAAGAAAGAAGTGGATGGATAGGGAGACGCGCGGTAGCACTGGGGGCTATGCGGGGAACGGCACAAAGCGATGATAGTGTGTAGGATTTGGCGTTGTCGGCAGGATTTCAGCGATGACAACACCTGGTAGTCTGGAATGGAAGTGCTGTACTGTATACGGGGAGGATAAGAAGGGAAAAGACGCACCCCGGGGCCCCGTACTCGTCGGAATACCCCACCCCTCCGGAACTCCAAATGAGAGGGGTAGGGATGGGGGGGGACATTTAGGATGAAGGAAGTCTGTGTAGTTTTGAATCGCCACTACTTCAGAAACGCCGGTTTATTCTCGATCGAAAGTCGATAATAACCGCCGAAGATCGAGACTAACGTTTTGGTCATTTTTGTTGTTTTCACTGCACGTTTTGGTTCGAAAATATCACTCTATTCTCAGTCACGAACCAAAATTCCCACGTGTAAGTCAAAGTTGAAACATATCCTTTAAAAAAAGATGTGTTTTCTATTCCGTGTTTAGTCTTTTGTTCGTTCTAAACACTGTTTTTTTGTTTTCCGTGACCAACAGCTGCAAATGCTCCTCTATTTTCAAATCTAATCAGAGTTAATTCAGTGACATGAGCTCCTAACATGATAATCTAACGCATAACGTAAGTATATTTTGTTGTTTTGACTTCTATACACGCAAAATCCCTCCTTTAGTAAATTCTCAATCTGTTCACCTACTTTTTAGTCCCCCAAATTTCCTCTCTCCCCCACCCAGCCCCTCCTCCTCTCCTCCTCCTCTCCTTCTCCCCATACAGTAGTTGGCTCCTCTTAAACTGAGTCAGGAAGCAGGCAGCGCGCACGGCAAAGCAGTTATCAATCAACAGCATCCATAAACCAACACACACTCTCACTCGCTCACACACACGCACACAAATGCACGACTACAAACTGTGCCAAACATCCTCTGTGTTGGTGTTACAACATCGTGGCGTGTGGAATCCTGGCACCTGCGTTATGCCGCTATTAATTTTGAAATTTTGTTATGATAAATATAATATCGCACCAAAATCAACACCAATTGGAAATGCATCTGTAATGAAAACACAATTTGAAGACTACGTTTTATGAACTGATCCCTGGAACCGTTGCCATATCATTTACATGCCTGATGTCAGAGCTGCACATTCACTACCTGATTTTGTGCTACAGTCAGATATTAGAGATTTCCTTTATTATAAAATCCCCACTAATGCCTTTTTAATTAAAGAAAGCACAATTTGAAATCTAACTTATTCACAAATACAAATCTTTCTCTGCTCCCCCCTGTCATGAACTTACACTTTAAGTTTACCCAAATCAGTCACAGAGTAATTATTATGCAAATCAAATCCCTTTAATATAAATGTTCCCTTTGTTGTGCTGTTATATGTTAAATAATACAGTTGAAACTCGTAGTAATAAAGTGTAATAATAAATGTTTAGATGTATTTTGTGGCAATAAGCAGACTCACGTGTGATCTGTACGCACGTTTAGGCCACAACGACGCACCAGAGAGCGTTTGGTGTGAGGAGATTAATTAAATCAAGGCTTTACGAGACACATCAAGCAATAAGCAGCGATGGTATTAATTTAATTTAATCTTAAATGTATTTATATTAAATTTACGCACTGCCTCCAATAGAAGGAACACGCAGTGTATCACGGGTCATTGTGCCAAAGGTTTGTGTGCGTGCTCAGTGCGGGGTCACGCGTAGAGCAGCTTAAATGAACAGGTATGTCTGAAACTTGTAGTCCACTTGAGTTTTTTATGTTCAAGCGTGTGTAATTGTGTGGCAGGAGGAAGACAATAGACACAATGACCAGTGAGAGTTTTAGTTTTTACGCATTTAAACCAGTGAAATCCAGGTTCTTGGCGCGACATGAAGCAAAACTATTTAAATTATTTAAAGGGTCAAACGCTGCTTAAGTTAAAAAAAGCATCATCTGGGCAGTATTCTGGGAGGGCAGCGCGTGAGGACGGACAGTGGAGGAGTATTACGCACAGAACACATCCACAGTCTGTGTCCAGCTCCGCGGACACGCGGTGGAAGCTCCTCCGCCGCCGCTCGCAGCGCTCTCCTCCCTGCGCTGAAGGGGCTGGGAGCAGATGACTGACTGGAGCAGGCTCCGGCCACTGCTGCCGTGCGCGCGCCACGCACTCTGTGTGGCGGAGTGTGCGCGCGGGGCGTGAGTGGTGTGTGTGTCAGTGTGTGTGAAAGCCACCACTAGTCGCCCCCAGTGCTCTTCAGTCTCCACTCTCCCTTCGCACCGCACACTGAACGTCACGTCCGCACTTGAACTTGAGTTTGTAGAAGCCAGAGAGCCGCACGAGAGCCGCGCACAGCCACGCAGCCCGGGGATGCGGACACACACTCAGACACAGGCGGAAGCACGGCACTAGTGTCCTCAGAGCAGCGCGCGCTCCACACCGAGACACACTCAAGTGCCCATAAGCTCCGCTCCTCGTGGATCCTATTTACACCCGTGTCCGGACGCGCGTGCCCAGGTCCGGTCCGGTGTCCGGAGAGTGGACACTGACCGTCCCGTCAGGAGCGGACCCTCGCGCGCACACTCACGGACTGTCCTCGCGCGCACATTCTTGGACTGTCCTCGCGCACACTGACGGACTTTACCTGCGCCGGCGCTCGCTCCTTCAGTCTGACTCGAGCCTTCACTTTGGCACCGAGCTCTGACAGAGCAGCCGGCCGCCCAGCGCTGCACCTCGTCCCGCCACAGCACAGCGCACGGCTCCGGGAAGGGTTCGCTCTGAGGGACCCGTGCTGGACGAGCAGCGGCCGCTGCCTGTGGGGCCAGTCCGCGAAGGAGGAGGCGAGAGAGGAACCGGAGGAGAGCCGACCCTTCCAGCGCCGCTCTCCGGGCGATGCCAGTGTAAATGCCAGGGCAATGTCCCGAAGAAAGCAGGGGAACCCACAGCACTTGTCCCAGAGAGAAATCACTCGTGAGTACCGCACGTGCACACTTTATTCATTTAAAGGATTTCCACATTTCCACATTTCCACACGATTCTGACTTTGTGCTTTTTATTCACGTCCGCTTCAGGGAAAGTTTGTACAAGTGCTTCACGCGGGCCATTTCCTTTTCTCTCTCGTGATAAAACGAGATAAAGAGCACACTTTACTTATCAGATTAACACGCTCTCTCCAAACATCAACCGCATTTACACATTTAGTGCAGAGTGCAAATACAAAGTTTATAATTACCACACAATAATATAATACTTTTGACTGCTCGATTTGAAACAGTGTGTTTTAATTCATTTATAAAACACTTAGGACTTGACACGTTAATGCACCACGTATAAATAAAATACATTTCACTATTATTTCCCTCAATTTAGATTCAAGCTTTAACTGTGTTTAGTTTTGTGATTTTTATCAGATTTATAAGATTTACAATTAGAAATGATAACTGATAAATCGTTTTTTATTTGTAATTTTAACTAAACAGCTAGACTTTTAATGCATCAGGGTCTTTATTTAAAATAGTCCGAAGTGAAAGAGCTCTGTCCTGCGCACCGCCCCGGGTCCATTGGCTTTATTTCACTTTATTGCAGCTTGTCATTAGCGGAGTGCAGCGCGTATCTCTGTGTATTCTGCGTAATTAGTGAGTTCGCTCGTTCACGGTGCGTCTCTTTGTGCCTCTGCTCCCTCTGGTTGTAATATTAATGCTACGTTTGGATAATTTAATAGGCTGCACGCACTGACAGCGAAAAACCCATGCTTTCCCTCACGGCACTTTTTGTGGGGAGAGCGGAGTAAGTGGCGGTATTTACGGACGAACGTGTCTTATTTATGTGTCTCGTGTAGCAGAGTGGCGTTTAGGACGAGAAAAACACAGGATTTTTTTTGGCACACACAACTTTAAAGATTTCATTTCGACCCATTTCGACGTTTTTCTGAGTCGTTTAAATGCATTTGCGTGGTGGAAAGTTTTATCCAATGAATGTGACAGGACTTGCCTCAAATAAAAGTAATTTACACAGACACTTTGCAATCATTGAGCAACCCAAGACTGCACAGCTCCTCATTTGCAAACCGTAAATCTCCTTCCAGAGAATCAAACTATATTTCAAAAAAAAAAAAAAAAAAAAAAAAAAAAAAAAAACTGCAGCTTGAATTTGCCACGTTATTTTTGTTGTTTTTCCAAATTGCTCGGGGTTATTTGGGGAGAATGGAGAGGCCAGATCGGATCACTTTTCTTTTTCTTAACACCGAATTTCTAAGCTTTGTGTGTTTTTCGTCGTCAAGCCAAGAGTTGCTGTGTCGAAACTGAACCTTTAACGTGTCGAGATTTGCTGCACACCCCAACGTGACAGTCACAGAGGTCAGATATTGTGACGAGAAGTGCAAATTAAAGAAGTGTAAACGTGTACACAGCTTCTATGCATGAAACTATGTGACAAAGAAGGCAGATTGCAATCATAAACTGCAGTATTTGAAGGAGCTAAAAGTACAAAATGCACGTTGTCCATAGCTGGTCGGACCTGTCTTGTCTCGGTTGATTCATTGCTTCTCAGGCTTCGGCTTGGTTGCTGTACATTCCATAATTTATGTGAAAGAAAGAGATGCGCGCTCCATTTAATATGCCTGGGTTCCCTCACATACATAGGCACACATGAGTAAACTTGCTGGGGCCCAGATGCATTGCTTTATATGCAAATGTCCACAAATGTGATCGGGCCAAATCAGACGAGGCGGTGAAATTTATCAGCTACCATGTTCTGTGTTTCAGCAGCCATCAGGGAGGGCTTCTGTATCAGTGTGCATTATCATTTTATTTGCTTGCTGCATTGACTCGAGCTCATTCTCTTTTCAAATCAGCTGCACGTTTAGGTGTTTTGGTGGGATTTAAAGTCGAAATTCGAATTTGTTGTGTTTTGTGTAGAAGCAAAAAGGCATCTCTATTACATTTATTTGACTTAATCTGTTTTCAAATTCTGACTATCTTTACGCGTTTTTACACAAATTTGACGTAAAAATCAGACCCTAATTTTTCACCTTGTCAGGAGTCATTAGAACGACAGCTCTATCTACGTTCATTACATTTTAATTGACTCCTTTTGCACAACGTTACACTGCTTTTACTTCAGGTTTCCAAATCTCTGAATATTTATTTCATCTAAACTGAATTCACATCTGAAATTTAAAGTTGTAATGTTGACAGTTAGACTTGAGGTGTATGAGTGTGTGTGCATTTTACATTCTGTGCAAAAACAAAACACAACAAACGTTACACTGATCTACACTTCAGGTTTCCAAATCTCAGAATATTTATTTAATCTAAACTGAATTGAAATCTGAAATTCAAAGTTGTAATGTTGTCAGAAATGTTGGTGTGTGTCAGTGTGTGTGCATGTTACATTGTGTGCAAAAACATAACACAAGAAACGTTACACTGCTTTACATTTCTGTTTTCAAAACCTCAGAATATTAAGATTTGATCTAAACTGAATTCAAATCTGAAATTCAAAGTTGTAATATTGTCAGAAATGTTGGTGTGTGTCACTGTGTGTGCATGTTACATTGTGTGCAAAAACAAAACAACAACAAATGTTACACTGCTTTACATTTCGGTTTTCAAAATCTCAGAATATTAAGATTTCATCCAAATTGAATTCAAATCTGAAATTTTAAATTGTAATATTGTTAGAAATGTTGGTGTGTGTCTGTGTGTGTGCATTTGACATTTTGTGCAAAAACAAAACACAACAAATGCTTTACACTTCAGCTTTCAAAATATCAGAATATTTAGATTTCGTCCAAATTGAAATCAAATCTGAAATTCAAAGCTGCAATGTTGTCAGTTAGACTTTGTGTGTAGACGTGTGTGTGTGTGCATTTTACATTGTGTGCAAAAACAAAACACAACAAACGTTACACTGGTGTACACATCAGCTATCAAAATCTCAGAATATTTAGATTTCGTCCAAACTGAAATCAAACCTTAAATTCAAAGCTGTAATGTTGTCAGTTAGTCTTGGTGTGTGCAGACGTGTGTATCAGTTTTAGATTTAGTGCAAAAAACAAAACACAACAAACGCTGTCTTAACCCACAATGCACTCAGATATGCCATTTTAAATTAGTCCATTTCGCTTGACGCATTTGAAAGCGTAATTGAAATCAGATCGACTTTAAACAAGCCTCTGCAATGCTACAGAGCAGCTTTAAAGCGCCTTAAGTCATCCCCTAACCTCTTTTCTCCTCTCTTTATAGTCACTGCATGCTTAACCTATACCCACTCTGCTGCTTCCTCTTCTCTGCTCCTTTCACAAATCTGCAAACAAGTCTTGCTTTCAATCACATTTTGATCAAATATAAACTTGTTAATTCGAACTTGATTTCTGGCTCGATCTTCACCTAATTCCCCCTCATTTCCTGGCATCTCCGCTGGACACACATGGTTAAGATTAATCAGAGAAGGTGGATTTATATATTTTGTTTGGTGTGTGTTTTGGCAGTCTCCGCGCCACCACGGCTCTCTCCCTCGCCTTCTGGTTCTCATTCACAGCAAATAGCTTCTTTTTTTTTTTTCCTCCTTTTCTTCTTCGTCTTCTTTCCTTCCGAGCGCTTGATTTAGTGTGAAGAGATGCAAACATGGGCGAGCGAGCTATCTCCCCCCATTGTCGGCGAGGAGAGCGAAGGAGAGAGAGGGAGAGAGAGAGAGAAAGAGAGAGAGGAGCACGTGTAAATTGTGCTCGCCCACTTGAGATGCGTGTTTCTCTTTGGCTTGTCAAATAGCCACGCACCCCGCTGTGCCTAAGTCTTTGTTAGCGACAGAGGAGGCTAGCGGCCGCCTCTTCAAACCAATGGAGCGATGAGGTGTTTGTAAAAATGATACAAACGAGAGGCTCCACTGTCACAAATCATTGTAATTTTGATATCTTCAATAAGGCAAATCTCGAAGAATTTGTACACACCGAAGAGTACGTGTGGCATTTGTCCAGCTATGATTGCCTTTATGGTTTATTTTAGTAAGAAAGTTCGACATTTATTTACGTTTCTAGTTCTGCTCTCATTTTGTTTTCTTCATTTACATCTTCAATAAGGTCAATTTTGAAGAATTTGTGTATAGCATGTGTAGGATTTGTCCAGCTATACCTGCTTTTAAGGTTCATTTTGGTAAGAAAGTTTGAAATGTATTTACATTTTTAAGTCTGCTTTTATTTCATGTATAATCTATAAACCATTGCAATTTTGATATCTTCAATAAGGCAAATCTCGAAGAATTTGTGCACATCGAAGAGTACGTGTGGCATTTGTCCAGCTATCATTGTTTTTAAGGTTTATTTTAGTAAGAAAGTTCGAAATTTATGTACATTTTTAGGTCTGTTCTCATTTTGTTTTCTTCATTTGCATCTTCAATAAGTCAAATTTTGAAGAATTTGTGTATAGCATGTGTAGGATTTGTCCAGCTATGCATGCATTTAAGGTTCATTTTGGTAAGAAAGTTCACAATTTATTAGAATTTTAGCTCTGATCTCATTTTGTTTTCTTCATTTGCATCTTCAATAAAGTAAATTTTGAAGATTCTGTGTATAGTACGTGTAGAATTTGTCTAGCTATACCTGCTTTTAAGGTTCATTGTAGTAAGAAATTTTGAAATGTATTTACATTTTCAGGTCTGTTCTCATTTTATTTTCATCACTTAGATCTTTAATAAGGTACATTTTGAAGAATTTGTGTATAGTATGTGTAGTATTTGTCCAGCTATGCATACATTTAAGGTTCATTTTAATAAGAAAGTTCAAAATGTATTGACATTTTCAAGTCTACTCTCATTTTATTTTCTTCGTTTACATCTTCAATAAAGTAAATTTTGAAGATTTTGTGTATAGTATGTGTAGTATTTGTCCAACTATGCATACATTTAAGGTTCATTTCAGTAAGAAAGTTTGAAATGTATTTACATTTTTACGTCTACTTTAAGAACCACTTCAA